AATTTAATAATTTAATAGGTGCATGTTGTTTTTGTAGAAACGTAATAACAATAAAGCATTTCTGAGAGAGCAGCGGAGCATAAAAAAATTACTGCAATGTACTGCTCTAGTCGTTCCAGCGCATTGAAATCCTATTTTCTAATAATTCTTATTTTTATCAATTTATTATACTGAAACTTAAACATCGTTATCATTATCATAACATCCCTACAAAAGTCTACTGCTGAACCTAGAAATCCCCCAAGGAATACCACAAAACACGGTCATAAGTTAACATCAAATCCTACATGGTTTACTACGTCGCTAAACTACAAACTTGTGGGATGCCTTACATTTTGCTTACCGATACGAGGCTACTAATCGAGAAATTTCTTTCCTATCGTTTATCGTTTTTTTCAAGGTATATAACTCATTGCCCTTTTGAGCTTGCTGTTCATTTGGTCTATGTCTATTAATCTTGTAGTAGAATTTGTAACAAGGATCGAACACTGTAGGTTTTATCCTTATTACGAATTTAAAAAAATAAAATAAAACAAATGATGTTATTTTTTCAACTGGTAACTGAAAATTGTATCAATAAGTTCATTTATTATTATATAAGTATACGAGTATATATTCAAGGTAAGTACGTCAGAAGTTGCCGTGTTGTGGCGGTTAAGAATATCCACTACCCCATATCTTCCCGTGGGTGTCGTAAAAGGCGACAGAGGGAAACAGGCGAGAGATGGGCATAAGCGTCTTTCTGATAGCAGCAACCATATAAAAAACTGGGGTTGCCAATCCACTTGCCAGGCGTGGCAAGTATGGCAAATATCCCCCCATGAGGAACGACACAAATAAACGGCCCTCAGTACTCGGCGGCCCTGCTAATCCTGGCTACGGTGGCCACCATGGTAACGGCGGGGCAGGGGGTGTTAAAAATCTCCGGTGGAGGTTCGGTTGGCACCTACGAAAACTTGACCTGGCAGCATATAACGCACGCACCCTAAAGACTGAAGAGAAGATCCTGGAGCTGGTACAAGAGATAGACAAGCGCTGAAATATTATAGAATTATCCGAGCTTTGAAGAGAGGGGTAGGTCACGGTGATTCCCGAATCCGGCAGCTTGTTTTATCACCGGGAGGGCGACCATTTGTCCCAATGAGGTATTGGATTTATCGTCCACAAATCTCTAGTTATCAACGTTGTAAATATTGGCAGTATATTGACGAGGCTTGCGTACCTTACACTCAGAATCATCAAACGGCATTCGCTGAATGTCATACAGGTTTACGCGCCAACGTCGAAACATCCCGATGAAGAGGTGGAAGAAATGTGTGAAGGATATTTCTAAAGCCATGCATTTCTCCAAAGCTCACTATACGGTGTTAATGGGAGACTTCAACGCAAAACTGGATCAAGAACGAACGGTGAGCTGAAGTTAGGGAAATTTGGGAAGGAGCAACGGAACCTAAGGGACCAGCAGCTAACCGACTTCGTGGCGAAGGAGGGACTCTTTGTAATGAAATCTTTCTTCCAGAAGCGGCCCCACAGGAAGTGGACCTGGTCGAGCCCCGACGGTTCGACAAAAATGAGATTGAGGTCTTTATGACAACCAGACCCCAACTGTTCAGTGATGTCTCAGTGATCACTAGCGTGAAAACTGGCAGCAATCACCAAATGGTTAGAGACACACTGAACCTAAACGTAAAGTTGGAGAGAACTCCTCTAATGAAGTCGTCGCTCCGTCCCCCTCGTGCTCTAGTCCAAAGTTCCGAAACCTTTTAGCTCGAGTTACAAAACCGCTTTCAGTGCCAAGAAGAGTGCAATGCAGTTGACGATATGAATGACAAGCTCGTGGAAATTGTTCAAGCAGTCGGAGCTAAGTTATGCAAGACCCGCCGCAGAAGAATACAAAAACTCTCCAATAACACTCATAATCTCAGGCTGTTAGATGGGAGATCAGATTATACAGCATACAGGCAACTAAATAGAGAGATCTCCAAATGCATGCGGCGGGACTATCGCAACTTTAATACTGCTCATATTGAAGAAGCGATCAGGCAGAACCAGAGCTCCAAAGTCTTTGCCAGAGAACTGTCTGCCAGAAAGAGCCACCTGTTAAAGCTGAAGACTGAGTGTGGCAGCATCGTTTTCGAGACACCTGAGTTTTTGAGTGAGATTGAGAGGTTCTATGGACAGCTGTACACATCATCGTTGGAGCCACAAGCAAGTGTGAGTAACGATCCATGAGCAATGATTTCTTATATTTACGCGAACACTACACATTGAATTAATACTGGTTAATACATAGTTAACTATAACATATGGACGTTGAACATCTCAGTGCCGCCGTAGCGTCACTCATGAGTGCTGTAAAGCGTTCTAAACTTCGGGTATTTAAAAAGTTAAAAAATACGCGATAAATTCCGTAAAAACTAGTATTATTTCAATGATCCATGAGCAAGTCTTATCCAACACTATTCCGATGATATCCCGGATGTCAGTCTGAGCGAGATTAGAGTGGCTCCCCAGTACCTTAAAAATGGCAGGGCCCCAGGCGAGGATGGAATTATAGCGGAGCTTCTGAAAGCGGGTGGAACACCGGTACTAAAAGTCCTTCAGACGGTCTTCAATTCCGTTCTTCATGGTGGCACTACTCCGGAGGCGTGGAGCAGAAGTGCGGTGGTATTGTTCTTCAAGAAAAGCGACAACGCTTTCTTGAAGAACTACAGACTAATTTTCCTTCTGAGCCGCTTCTACGAGTTGTTTTGGAGAGTCATTACGAATCGTCTTGCACGTAGACTCGACAAGTTCCAGCCTCCCGAACAAGCCAGTTTCCGAAACGGCTTCAGTACCATAGACCACATACATACCCTGCTAAATATTGTACAGAAGACCTAAGAGTACAATCTGCCATTTTTCCTGGCTTATGTGGACTATGAGAAAGCCTTTGCTTCGTCGAAATTCGGGCAGTGCTGCAGTCCCTTCAGCGGTGCCAAGTGGACTGTCGGTATATCGAATTGCTGAAGTATTTGTACAGTAGGACTACTTTGGCTATCCAAGTACAGAACTAGAGTTCAAAACTTATCCAACTGCAGAGAGGTGGAGGACCTAAGCACTATGCTCAATAACCTCAATGGTGTCTCTCAACGGATAGGCCTTAAGATGAACATGGACAAAACAAAGATCATGTTTAATGTCCATGTCACACCTATGCCAGTAGTGGTGGAGAGCACTATGCTCGAAGTTGTTAACGAGTACGTTTACCTGGGACAAATGGTCCCATTAGGTAAGTCCAACTTCGACCGAGAGGTCAATCGACGAATTCAACTCAGCTGGGCAGCGTTCGTGAAATTACGACATATCTTTTCGTCAGGTATACCTAAACTCTGAAAACTAGATTGTCGGACGGATCTGAGACGTGGTCTTTCATTGCTGGACGTATGAGGACGCTCAAGGTCGCTGAGATAGCTATGCTATATAGTATTAGTAGTATACAGCTATATAATATTTTTTATTTTTTTTATTTTTTATCAATTATACATAAAACATATTACCAGAGTACCATTAAACCGCAAAACGGTTTGTATTGGTGCTGGCAGACATCATTACAGAATATATTATTTTTAATAAATACCTACTATCATAAGATAGAAAAAAAAATAAGTATGATAACAACTAAGTACATATATCTTACTTAACACACATTCTTATAATATTTAACATTTAATTAGCCATTCTAAATTGTATTAGCTACATGACAACAAACAAGTTTCATTATTTTACCGCGATGAGCGTGTACAATACGTTATACAATTCTTAAGACAATAGGTAGTGAGTGTGCACTGTTCATATACAGGCTGATTTCTATAGCAATTTATTCATTTTTAGTAATTAGTTAATAATTAATTTTGTGTCTGTTTTTTTTTTTAAGTTTTACTGAGGTAATTGGAAAATTCGAAGACTTTTGTGTGTGTGTGTGCGTTTTTTTTAAGTTTTACTGAGGTAATAACTCCCGTGAAATTCACAAAAATGTATTCTTTCTACTTGTCATCAAATTTTTTTTTAAATTATCAAAATATGCAAATCCTTTAATTTTATTATATTTTATACCGGCTTGGGAATGCTTAAATTTTGAAACACATAACATAACATAAACACTCATTCATGTCACCCAGAGGGGTAGGCGTGAGTGTTGTGCGTTCCATTTTTAAATTTCGAGCATCTCAAAACTTATTTAGTGACCTACGTAGCAGAGATGGTAGATATGATAAGGATATAAAACGATAAACGAATGCAGGATATATAGTGAATGGGGCTCTACACTCTATTATGCAGAGTCAGAATGTGTCAAAAAGGCACGTATGGTAATACATAATGCTGTGTTAATCCCAACTTTAATGTATGGTATTGAAATTTGGGTTTGGCAGAAGAAGCAAGAAAGTCGAATAAATGCTGTAGAATACAGTCTTTAAGAAGAATGCTAGAGCTTAATCTGAATGACAGGTTGATAAATTGTGTGATAAAGAGAAAAATGTGGTATGCAAGATGATGTGACCAAGATTAAGAAAGGAATGCTTTGGTGGTTTGGTCATGTAAAAAGAATTAATGAGGTAAGAGTCACAAAGCAAATTTATATGGCAGATGTGAACGGCAGAGTCGGGAAGGGACGCCCTAGACGAAAGTTGATCTACCAAATTGGCGATATTTTGAAAATGGGCCATATTAGGAGTACCTTTAACTGACGAGCGTGTATGCGTTGATATATGAATGTAAAGGAGGCGAGAGAGGTAAATCAGGATAATTCCAAATGGAAATTCGTAGCCGTAGTCTCTGCTTACCCCTCTGGGTGACAGGCGTGAGTGTTCTAAGATAACTAGTACAAATTATTCTTGACTTGAAAGGTAAAGAAAAATAACTGCATGAAACTTCGCTTAAAATAACAATATTTTTATACAAATTTTCCTACAATAATTACTGAAAAAGTAGTAAGCGATTATTTTTATTTATGACAACAGGAAAACGCCGAATATTAAACAACGTTTCTGGAGAGTTTTACTCAGGAGAGTTAAGCTGCATCCTTGGTCCATCTGGCGCTGGCAAATCGACACTTCTAAATATTTTGTCTGGATTTACGTCAGTATCAGATTAGTTTTAAGTGTTTTCTTATGAATTTAAAACTCCTTATTGTGTTAATATATTCTTCCTACAATTGAGATCAAATAAAATAGATAGGTTTTTTATTAGTTTTTAATTTTTACCAGGAATGAATTTGATGGGTGCATACATGTGAATGGATGTTTACGTGATGTGAGATCATTCAAAAAACTTAGTTGTTATATTATGCAAGATGATCTTCTACAACCAAGACTAACTACATTGGAGTCAATGTGGATTGCTTCTGACCTTAAGTTGGGAACAAATTTTAAAAAAGCAGATAAAGAGACAATAGTAAGTACCAATTTAATTTTGACATTTTGTACGAGAAATACGTCCCATTGCTGGTCACAGGCATCCATCTTCATTTCTGTGGGGGTTATGGAACAATTAGTCCGATGCGTAACTCCAGTTCGAGTATGCAGACTTCACATGTCCTCGAAGTATATTTTTTACACATGCATGTTTTTCCACGATGTTTCCTTCACTACCACTCACTTGATAAAATCAGCACTTAAAATTGCAACTTAAATTTCATGTGCGCTGGCGAGGATCGAATTGGGGTTGCTCGTGGACATTGAAATTTTTATTTAAATTTATTTAACTCCGAGATTTCGCAATTCTAAATAGTAGGATATACATAGATATTGCATAAAAATTAAATTAGGAATGAGGCCAATTGATTTCGGTATTAGAGAAATCATCTACTTCTGTGGATGTAAGGGACGACTTATAGAAATACTCAAGAAATCTTGTGGGTTTCACAATATTTATGTTACAATATATTTTCTATCTATTTGTACAAGGAAAGTAGGATCAAAAGGTGCGAGATATCTGAAAACATTCAATCCGCCGACCAACTGTGTTGTTTACACTAAACCTACTAATAGTAGGAATAGTGTTCGTCTATCTTTGTTGCACAGCTATACTATTTTGTACGTATATAAGAAAATTACCTTTTTTATTGTGTAGAATGAAAAACGGGAACATTGTCCATCTGATGGTAATGAATCGTGGTGGTTAGCAACCTGTGGTCGTAGACATCTATATGTAGTAGCCCGAGTAGGTTGACATGAGTAGGTTGGTTCGACCGGAAAAGACCACGCTCTTACCGAATACCAGTGTAAAATAACAGCTTAAGCTGCTGCGTTTCGTAATGTGGTGAATGTAAAGAACCGGAGACCTTTTTACTGCTAATGAGGCCTTCTATCAGCTACGTTTTTTAGTTGCTATGCTGAGTGATGGCAATGTAGGCTATATTTTCATTCTTAATCAAGGCTAGATAAAGATGTCTATAGGCTACAAATTGCCTTACCATCTTGGGGACTGTGTACTCATTTTTCATCCTTATTCTACTCGTACAATTAACCGATGAAACATTGTTTGCACCAATGTATACATGAAATATAACAAATTTTAAAATATTTATTACATTTTTTTTAAATGAAGATTTTTTTTAGTAAATTCACTATTTTACTATTTAATTTAAATGTGAATTAAGGTAACAGAGATTCTCCAATATTTGGGATTATGGCAGCACAGACACACGAAATGTGAGCGGCTGTCTGGAGGTCAATCTAAACGTCTTTCTATTGCATTAGAATTAGTAAACAATCCGCCTGTAATCTTTCTGGATGAACCAACAACGTAAGTAATTTTGTTATAACTAATAAGGAACAAAAAAAAAGTTGCAATGGTATTAACGACCTTATACGTGGTCCAGCTACGCTGCAGCTACATTATGGTTGTACGAATGGGTGGGCTCGACCGGGGTAGGACCACACTGTCACAGAATACTAGCTTAGTAAAATTGCAGCTTAATGCTGCTGTGCTTCGTATGGTGAGTGTAGAGAACCGGAGACTCTTTTTATTGAAAACGAGGCATTCCATCTTACTCCTCGGGGATTATGGGGCTGCATCTGCATTTTGATTTTCAACCCTAGATTACTAAAACTATCGTAAAAATGACGATAACAAAGTCATGATTCCTAGAAAAAATAAATCTCGCGTCATTACCGTGTCCCTCTCTCCAGTGTACCTTCCTTATTTCTTTCATTAATAGAGTTAATCGGGGATCCAATTATTTATGATTCAAATCAAGTATTCATTACTGCCTCTGCCGTAAGTGTTTCCCGCTGCTGTCGTGAACAACTTCCTGCAAGTGATCTCCCGATTGCCCTTATCATGTTCGACGTTTATTATAACATAATTATTTAAAAATATTTCTTAATAAGTTGTTGTATAAACTGGTCGTGCACGGATAGTACGTTGCAATATTTAAAAAAATTGTATTTTATTCGACGAAAATTGTTGTTTTGAGTTAGGCGAGTTTAAAGCTTTAGCTCGTTTTTATATTCTTATTTGAAGTCTATATATTCTATCCAGATATGTCTTAAAAATTTGTCCATAACTGGAGAAGACTTAGCTAACTATAGAATTATCAAAAGCGTAATATAATGCTAATCGATTCCAAAAAAGTAATTCGTTTTTGATGATTCTTAAGTTTGGGAGGAACGCTCGTAATTTGTCATTTACTCGCATAAATAGTTCAGTACCTAGGACTATTGCGCTTAAAGTATAGTTTAATAATTGATTAACTGAAGACACAAGTAATAGATAAATGTGTCTATAGGCCACAGCATCCACTTAACATCAGGTGGACTTTGTGCCCGTTTGTCACCCTTACTAATTAAAAAAAGGTAATGATTTAATAAGAATGTTCTTTATTGCAGAGGATTGGATATTGTTTCTACCAGGCAAATAGTTGTTTTACTTCGCTTGTTGTCACGTCAAGGTCGGACTATTATATGTACAGTTCACCAACCATCTGCTTCTATGTTTGCATTTTTCGACAATGCTTATATTGTCGGTAATGGGAGTTGTTGTTATCAGGTAACTAATTAGATATTAAGTAATTATAATACATGGAAAGATATTGTTACAACTTAAGCTGTTAAAAGCAATTAATTAATTGCTAAAGTCAAGTAAAGATTTTTTTGTTACATTAAAATTAATATATTAGGAGCCAACATTTCAATTCACCATTATAATAATCTTATAATATAAATCAGTATATAAATATAAGATGTAACTTATTCATTGAATTAAATAAAAAAAAAAACATAAATAAAAATAACAGTTTTACTAAACTCTTAGCAACGGACCCCCACTTCAGCGTACCATCCATGCGAAAACGCTAAATGAAAATAACGCAGACCGGTGTTGAGGCGAGGCCACCATGTTACCAATGCGAAGGTATCAATTCGTCGCACTCCATTGCTCTTCATCAAACACCGTCATTTATAAATGTTACAGCTAAAAGTCCAAGTGTGAATACAACTAGGTTTAGCCGGCTTTTACAAGGTGCAACCGATTGTGGTTGGTTAAACTTATTTTAGTTGGTGTATCATCTTTATATATATAAATTACGTGTCACGTTGTTTGTCCGCGATGGACTCCTAAACTATTTAACCTATTTTAATCAAATTTGTACACCGTGTGCAGTTAGGTCCTACTTGAGACACAGGATAGTTTTTTTGCCCATCAGTGACCCACAATTTTTTTTTGCGAAATTAAGGATTTTTAATAGGATATTATGACAAAGGATCGAAAAGGGCAGAACAACGTCTGCCTGACAAGCTAGTAAACTTATAAATTAGACAAATATTTGCAGGTTTAAAAAATCGAACATTAACCTACTTTCGCTGATTTACCTGATATTTATTTCCGTATTTTTACAAATTTTAACAGTACCGGTATAAGTTTAATCAACCGGAAATCGGTTATATTTCGTCATAGTCGTAGAATAGTGACGGATCTGACAATTATTAAACTTTACAGGACAGCCATTTCAAATAATCATGTTAGATTTTTTGACATAACTTTTTTAATTCTAAATCTGTAATTATGAAAATTGGCATATCAGTTTAAAATGGGGTTAATTTTAAACTGGAATAAAAACAATAACTTTTAATTATACAGTTTTCCTGAAAAATTACGTGCTTCATTTTACTTTGGAGTCAAGACAGTCACATAGTATTATCCGACATTTTTCTTCGGAAAGTTACTGTTCAAAGAATGACGGATGTTACTTTCCAGTCATGTTCTACTGACTTAGCGAATAATATTTTGGCGGATGTGTTATCTGTTATATGTTTGACCATGAGTAAGAAGGTAGGCAGTTGTTCGATAAGTAAATAGTACAGTAGGTAAGTAGGTTGGGGTAGGTAGGGTATCTTATAAATAAAACAGACTATTTGGTCTAGTCTTTATACTGAATTTGTATTAAGAAATTATGAACAACATTATTTTGTACTACATAGATTAAGAAGACTATAATGTTGAAGCTATTTGGACCTGATTTCTTCCTTTTTGGTAAATTACTAATCTAAAACTTAAACACTAACCATTTGTTAGCCAAGTTATATTATCACAATCATTTTATAAGTAGATAGGGTAGTAAAAACGTTAATTAAATGAATAAATCCCTAAAATTCACAACTTCAGAGATCAAAACAGTAAAAATTAAGTAACTAGTATTATTAAACACAATTCTTTAGCACAATTATTCAATCAGATTCATTGTTATTATCAGAAACATTACGCCCATGAGGTAAACTTCTGAAATAGTTATGATATTTGGTAGGTATTATTGAAGAATCGCAAAGGCTAATAAGATCCTTATATTTATCATTACTGATTGGAATTGGCCCCACGTAAGCTTTATGTAAGATTGGATTATTGTATTGTCTAGTCTTCTTTCGAAGTACCAGGGTCATGTAGTCATCAGATAAAGCATATTTGTACCGGATTTTACTGCTCTGAGTTCCATCGACACAAACTTCTTTTATTCTTGTCCAAGTAACTTTGTTGTTAACTGTATTTTTTACCCAGTTTTTATTTTTTAGCTGATCTTTAAAGTCAAACACTAAAGACTGATTTACGTCTATGACTTCATAAGAATATCCTGTTACTTTAGCCCAACGTACATGTAATTTCCATTCATCTGGTCTTTAAATTGTTTTATGCTCAGCAGCCCTTTCTATCACACTGTGGACAGAATACCCTCGTTTTGGGTGTGGCCTTTTTCAAAGAATCTATGTGTTATATTTAAATCATATTCTTTAGTTACATGAGCATACATAATAAACACTATGCGATTTCGATTCTGGCCAGCGCAATTGTCTGACCAGAATTGAAACTCTTTCACATCTTTTGATACAAACTTCTTTATGAAGTCATAAACGCAACTGGTTACTTCGTTGGCCCCACGTTTGGCAACACTTTCATCCCACATATAGCAATAACCTTGTTTGCCGATCATATCGTATATGGTGAAATTATAACATGACAGCTTTCGCTTGTAATACAATACACTCATTTGCCCGTGAGGACATGACAAAACCTTCTGAAATTCAAAGGTAGCACAAACTATGCGTCCATTAGAATTAACAGCGTCATTTTTATCATTCTGTTTCAAGATCCTAGACACTTTTTTGCTATTTAAATGGTTTGCATACTGTTCTTTAAGTTCATCAGGCGGATTTTGTGTTAGTTTAAAACTATGGCACTGATCACAAGTATCCTTTTTGGGTAGATGAAAACTCAAATTAAAATGACTGTTAACTATTTCTTTGTACTGTCTAATACTGGAAGCTGTATTTGAATAATAGTAAAGTTCAGGCCAATCTTTGTATAAATTGAACATCCTAGCGATGCTCAAGTCACCATCTAAATACAGTCGTTTGGACGCTGCTCTGTTATAATGAGATTCTACAGGTACAAATGAATTAACGTGGGCAAACCGACTTTACCATTTCATCGTCAACAACCCGATTATGATTTTTATGTTTCCCCCTCATGTCTTTTTCTATTAAAGTGCTTCCGTCATATTTATTCCAAGCTGTCCGAACTAACCTTTCGCTAATCGAATACGTACTTAAAAACATGGTTTTACAAACCTCTATTTTTGATGAGCCCTTTGGCAAAAAATAATTGTAAGTAAATTGACGGTTATGCTTTAAACCTCTTTGAAGGCCCCTTTTCTTCTTCTGGTTTGTAGTATAATTCGCAACATGCAACCATTGTTTCTCACGATCACCTAACTTCCAAAACTTTTCAAATGCATCCTGTCTTTCTTCGAGAGTCAACATAGTGTAACATTTATATCTACACGTGCAAGGCCTACCTATAGTTTTTGCTTGAACAATAACGCCCTTTTTGGAGATGTATTCTTTTCCTGCATTTGCTAAGCGTTTACTTTTAATTTCTTCCCAATCGTCATAATTTCGGACACGTTTTTTACCTCTACATCGAATAAGAGGCGCTGGAGACAACTGGTATGAAGACACAGCTGTGCTTCTTTGATTGACAGTTGCTATGTCTGCACCATCGTGAGTGGAACAAAAAAAGTCTTTACATACCTCACCATGAGTTTTTACTGGTGATGGCATAGGTGTTTGTCCATTGTTGTCAACAGTCGGGGTAATCGGTTGCGGGAAAGGTGACAGGTCTGATATCAGGGTAGAAGTATTTAAAGGGGTTAGAGCTGAGGTGATATTTAAGAGGGACACGACACCATGCTGATTTTCTGACGCGAGTAAATATGGTGAGGATGCATTTTCATACACGGCCATAAAAGGATCTTCTTCAAGAACACATGTAGATGATGGTATGTTCGGGTCCATATTTTCATTTGTTGATTTTACGATTTCGCTTGTTCCGTGTACGTCATCTGAAAAGATATCTTCACAAATGTCGTTCATCTCTTCTATTACGTTGCGTGCTCCTGGAGATAATGGCGAATGGCATTCTGAAAAGATATCAGTATTGTAAAAATAAATAGATTATTAATATCACAAGTTAACATTTACTAAAAACGGTAAGACTATTCATAATAAAAAGATTAGAAAGTATAAAAAAGTACTTTTTTTATTTATACAGGTAAATTTTACTCAAATCCGATTATTTTTTAAAGAAAAATATATTAAATATATAAAAATAATTATAGTTTTTCAATAGAAAAATGACGGAAGGGAATTTAGTTCAAAGAAAAAAGTGGGATAATCAGATACGACCGTTAGACAAAAAAGCGTGTCCACAAAATACCGGCGTTTGTAACCACGCGTCACTATCATGTCCATAGAAAAATGTAATATAGTTACATACAACTTGAAAATTTAAATTTTCAAATATAACAAAATAATAATAACAAATTAAACATAATAATTGTAGTAATATCAGCGAGCAAATATTATTTTTATAAAAATTACATTTTATATTGATTTATATTTTCCGTAGAAAACCGACGGATACTCAGAACCGACGCTTTACTTATTTACTTTGCAAAATATGTGTAAATACAAGAATTAAGTAATACTATAATATTAATACATAATTCATTAACTTACCTGGAGTCCCTGGTATGCAGTCCTCCTCATCCATGCGCTCTTCATTAGTAAAACCCGTACTTTTCGAATTTTTGCTTGTTTCTTCCATAAGTTTTAACATAAGCTTTGATCGACCTGTTTTCATTGAGGCACACCTTTTAATATAATATGTAAAAAAACTAGGCACGCAATAGCTAACAAACTGGCAAATAAAGTAAAACTAGTGCAATTGTTTAAGAAAAATCTAATCCGCTGCAACGCGTGAGCGAGTTCGACGAAAAGTGACGATTGCGCGGATTCGTCGGGAGTGGGAGAGGATTGCGCAAGATCCCCCGCACGTCGAATAATGACGAGTATATACAAACGTCATTTTACTATGAGTGCCTATCAAATCCGTCTATTTACCGACTGATTATTTTGAAATCCGAAATACATATAATTTTTTCTTTAATGTAGTAATAATATTTAAGCAATATAGTATCCAAATATGGTAAAAAGTGAATTTCGTTTTTTTTAGAACCGTCATTATTCTACGATCATGACGATATATTAGTAATAAAGCTAACGTTTACTTTTTCATTATAATTACTATGTATCCACACTTCGGCTTTTAGCCGTAACATATACATAAGTTATGGACGTTTGAAAAAAAGAGTTGAATCAGAAATTAATGGATGCAGCTTGCTAAGGACCAAGTAACCGTTTCTTAGTTTCTATGTTCAGCAGTGTACTTGTAAAAGGCTGCAATGACGATGATAATTGTACACTAAAGACACGTTATTTTTAGGGTTCAACTGCACTACTCGTGCCTTTTCTAGCAGAAATTGGGTATGTTTGTCCAACTACGCACAATCCTGCTGATTTTGTTATTGAAGCTATTGTTGGAGGCACTACTGCAGCGAAGCAAATGTCGAATCATTGTGAAAATGGAAAAATATACAATGGGTATGATGAGCACTTTTTTTTTGTATAATCATATTCATTATAATTACTACGTTTTATTACTGTATTAATATAAAGCTATCTAGACAAGTCAAAATAAAAAATATACGTTCCAGGATTCACGTAACGAGTAGGTTACGAATTGACAAAATACAAACGGAAAAAAATTACTTTCCTACCTCTTTTACAACGCAATTCGTCATTCTTATTAAGCGTATGTACGTTCAAAGTAAACGAAATTCGGTAAGGTATTATAATTTTTATCGATACGTTACATAAAAATACCTATATTATATTTAAAATTATTAATATAATATTTATTGCAGATTAACTTATTTATTCAATTAATGCATCATTTAGTTTGTGCTCTTTCACTTGGAGGAATATTTTATATGGTTGGAAATGAAGGAAGTACGCCGATGTCAAATTATAAATTTTTTCTTAGTGTTTTAGTCTTCTTTGTATACACTCACAGCATGACACCTATTTTACTCTGTAAGTATTTCTTACACAATGAATTTAAATATCTTGTTTGTAGTATTTTATGTTATTTCTGCATGCCGACATTATTTCCTTGATTACTATAATATACAAAAGAAGATTGAATATATGTTTAAGACGTAGCTAAACAATTTCTAGAGGGTTTTATTAGGAAGGTCGTAGAGTAAAAGGGTTAAATAATTTGATCACAAAGTGAGTTGCGTTTGCGCAGATAAAAATTGAAATACCATTCCATTTCCAACTTATCAAAAGTCCTCTGCTGAACTTATTCTAATGTTTCTAAAATTATTCTTCCGTCATTTAATTATTCCAATATGTTTCTCTAGTATTTCCTTTAATTCTGCTTTTTATCTTGATAGAAAAAATTAATAATTGAAAATATATTAATTTATCATGATAACAATATCCTCCAGAGTGAATTTTGGTCACGGCGGCCAGTCCAAACGAAGACTAAGTAATCTGCGCAGGACAAGATTATATTATTTTATTTATTTCACAAGGGTTATAGTATTATAGTGAGTACAATTCAATCAATATCGAAAAACGAAATGTATAAAATTTACTGTTTTTTATCTGAATACCAAAGCATAAAAACAAAAGTATTTAAAAATAAGTGATATGCACTCCGCAAACACCAGAAACGAACAAGAGTGATACCAGTTTCTTTTAATAAGTTACTTGTAATTTATATTAAATAAAAATTCTATTTCGTTCTATTATCATAGTACGGTGAACCAACACGATTGGAGAGAGATCAGTCGCAGGACATACAGCTTTGCCAGCATTCCTTACTCTTTTTTTTTTTTTATAGAAGAGGGGGCAAACGAGCATGTGGCTCACCTGATGTTAAGTGACTACCGCCGCCCATGTAAATCAACCGCAACACCAGGGGGAATTGCAGGTGCGTTGCCGGCCCTTTAGAAAGGGAGTAAGCTCTTTTCTTGAAGGTCCCCAGGTCGTATCGGTCCGGAAAAATCACCGGTGGTAAATTATTCCACAGAGAGGTTGTACGCGGAAGAAAACTCCTTTTGAAACGTACAGTGGTGGACCGCCAAGCATCCAGATGGTGTGGATGGTATCGGGACGTTTGCCGTGTAGTGCGTTCACGAAATTTGGCGGCTGGGATTAGTCCGAACAATTCCTCAGAGCACTCCCCCGTGATAGTTGCGATGAAATACGCAAAGAGATGCAACATCTCTTCGCAGCGCCAGTGAATCGAGCCGATCGGAAAGCACTCGGTCGTCGACGATTCGAGCCGCTCTGCGCTGGATGCGGTCAAGTGGAAGGAGCTGGTACTGGGGAGCCCCAGCCCAAAGATGGGAACAGTATTCCATGAGCGGACGAACCTGCGCCTTGTAAAGTTGCAGGCGGTGTGCCGGCATGAAATACTGTCCCGCTCTGCTGAGCACGCCAAGCTTTTTAGAGGCCAATTTGGCCTTCCCTTCCAAGTGACCACGAAACTGCACGTCACTCGATATGTCGACGCCGAGGATTCCGATACTGGCTGAGGCAACAAGGGGAGTGCCTTGAAACTGAGGAGATACGACAAAGGGGTTCTTTTTAGCGTTTAACGCGCAAACTTGTGTCTTCTGGGGGTTAAACTGGACTAGATTTAGTCGCCCCCAATCCGAGACTCTGTCCAGCAAAGACTCGACTTCAGACACAAGTTTTTCCCGGCACTCAGAGACGTTTTCCCGAGAAATATTGGCTCGGCCGGTGTAAAGAGCATCACCAGTGCTGTCATCTGCATAGCAATGAATGCTACGGGTTTGCAACATATCATTGATATTGTAACGCTTCCCCCCCTCTCATAATAATTATATATATTAAATACTAAATGTATTATATTCCCCTTTATATTAAAAATTATATATATGTGACCAGGATAAATAAAATATGTTTTGATCTTTCTAAATGATCTTTCAAAAGGTTTATTAATAGGCCGGTTTTAATATTTTGGCGTGATCGTCTTAGTTAGGACCCTTATTTACGTTGTGTTTGTTTAGTAACTTAGTTCTTTTAGGTGTCTTTTGGAAGAATGAATATTCACTAGAGCAATTGAAAGCTGTTGGTAGTGCCTTATAAGCTAAGTGAACCCCGTTCACGAAGACAGGGCTCGAAAAAGGTTAAGAACATAAAACGTCCCTATTCCACTTGCATCAGGTTTACATTATTAATTATCCCTTCCCGCTCGGAAAAGGCTCAAAATATATTTATACAAAATACCCGATACAAGGGCTTCGCTCTCCTACATTTATTTAAAAAAAATGTAGGGGAGGTACACGGCCCCACACACGCCGTGCACGGTGAGTGCCAACCATTTTGATGCACTCCCCCCGAAGGGACGCTTATTCGGGAACTGGACCGTAGTCCACAGCAAAATAACTGGCGAACCAGTAAAAGAGGCTTGGCCCCTTGCTAGTGCGTAAGCACAAACATCGACCGAAGTCGCGCATGTCAATGCGTGTAAACGCCAAACAGAATACGAACGAATCCAGCCAGAGTGAATGTACGTCACACGGTTTAGGCAAATAGGCACACTGGCCGTAAACCCTCCGTGAGCGCCACCACCTGCCAGACCGCCGCTCCTGCAGACGTGATGTAAGTGTATGGCATCACCACCAATTGCATGATCAGCACGGCTACTAGCCGCAGAGCGTGTCATGAGTCTACCGCTCACCTCAAGGGAATGGGGTCCCACGTTGTGCGGTTTTCGGCCGCAGCCTTGAGAGTCTCCTCAGATCCTCCCGCCAGCTACCACCCGCATGAGGTCGACACATATGCTCCACCAACCAATACAACGGCAGATATAGCCAAAAGGCAGTTATAAGATAAGAGTAATAATTCGCCATCAGAAAGGGTTTGTGTCACTGACGTTGAGTAAATGCATTTTCGATCATGTTTGTCTCACCCACCAACAAGTTGCCTTCAATCATTCAAAGGTGGGAAAGTTACAGAGATATAATATTATGTTGTTATATAAAACATCGTGGAGGGCAGACAGTCTGCAGCCCCGCAATGAAGGGACCCGACTTGGGCAAAGCTACTTAGGTGTGAGTCAAACCAAGACGCAGAGAGCGCCATTGAGAATAGCGTCCCACCAAACAACCATCGCAGAGACGCAATGCTGCAGAACGCAACAAGCATCAATACGACTATCGTCGGGCTTACACCATCCCAAGGTCCCCCATACATCCCAGCAGACATCACCACCCGCATACCTCCATCGACCAGAACCACAAGAGAGCGTCGAATCAGGCGCAGCACACCCGCAGATCCATCACAAGACGCAATACCGCAAGTAGCAGTAAGCATCAATGCAACTATCATACGGGTGGCGCCCCCCTCACAACACACCCACATGACTCCTATCGATTTTGGTAACAAAGTTTTTATTGTTGTTATATAAAAAATATCACCAACGTATCATAGTAGCACACTACTAAGACGCCAGTGGACAAAACTCCACGTATCATAGCGCTAATGCACTAAGACATGAAGTTGAGTATGCCTGTTACACTTAAAAGTGCTACCAAACACACTCATCATCCCAATCCGAAAGATAGACGACACATCGCTATGCGCAACGACGTCGCCCACAAACGGTATGGGTGTGCGATGTCCACGGGAAAGACGTATTGCTACAACAAACCCGCTTACCACCGGCACTAAGATGATATGTCTAGGACACATCCCGGTTAGCGAGTCCAAGTTTACCTCGGACCAATTGCTCGTGAAGCAGCACACACGCCACCATAATATTCCTTTTCAAGTCCCTAATAAGGACTAGTCATTTTGCTACAGTACTAGGAGCAGTCAGTCACCCGACCACCCCATACAATGCTTATGCATCAAGGAGACCTCCTATAATATTGCTTTTGTATCATAGACCTTACTTTCATAAGTCATGTATATGTAGGATTCGAACCCACGACCCTACTATTGTAATGCATATTAATCATAGAGACCTTCTATAGTATTGCTTTTGTATCATAGACCTTACTTTCATAAGTCATTCATATATAGGATTCGAACCCACGACCCTACTATTGTAATGCATATTATTCATAGAGACCTTCTATAGTATTGCTTTTGTATCGTAGACCTTACTTTCATAAGTCATTAATATATAGGGTTCGAACCCACGACCCTACTATTGTAATGCATATTAATCATAGAGACCTTCTATAGTATTGCTTTTGGATCATAGAACTTACTTTCATAAGTCTTTAATATATAGGGTTCGAACCCACGACCCTACTATTGTAATGCAAATTCATCATGGAGACCTTCTTTAGTATTGCTTTTGTATCATTGAGTTTAATATCATAAGTCCCTAATATAGGACTAGTCATTGTGCTACAGTACTTCAGGCAGTCGAGCTCCCGACCACCCCATATATATGTACAACTGCAGGTATGTACCTCCGACAGCTTCCTCCATACAAGACATCTATACGTGAACACCTTCCATAACTTAGGAAAATTTTCTTTAATACATGAACTCCTTCAACAACTTAGGAAATTTCATCTATACGTGAACTCCTTCCACAACTTAGAAAAATTTTCTTTTATACACGAACACCTCCCATGACTTAAACAATTTTTAACAAATTTTCTAATTATCTTATAAACGTTATTTAACTTAATTTTATAATATTTTTTGACTTGTATTTCTATTATTTATCTTATTTTAAATATTTTTTTCAAGTTTTTAAATAAATTTATTTATTACGAAAAACAATAATTTTGCCTTTAATTTACTATGTTATTGGGATAATGTCTGAAATATATTAACTTTATGTTTATTAATTTAACTTAATTGCTTAATATATATCTTTTAAGACTATTTTTGACGCCCCTTTATATTGAATTTAATTATTAATAATAATATTGGGCCGTCACAATCCACCCCCAAATTTTATGTTAATGACCCACACAGTGGAGTCGTTGATATAAAATTTTACTATATTGAGAGCATATGCACTACACTCA